AGGAATTGATGGGCAAGAAGAAACACTGCTCACTGCATGATCCTTTTTGGCTGTTCATAGTGCTAGAACCAGACTAAAGTCTCAAAAAATCCAGCCCAGGAAACCTAATCAACACAGCGACTATTTTCCAAATAATTCCATTCTTAGAACTTTGTGTATGTGACTGTGTGTGCATGTGTGCATGGTGCCAGGGTTTGAACCCAGGGCCTCACATGTGCAAGCCATGTGCTATACCACTGATCATATCCCTGGGCCTGGAAACTTTGTTAAAATGGTAAGAGGACCAGAGATACGGCTTTCTGAATCCATCAGGAGTGATCCCTGAGCACAGAGCCAGGAGTGAGCCCTGAGCACTGCTGGGTGTGGCCCCCAAAACCAAGAAGATAAAATTGCATGTATATTTGTTATTCCCTCTTTACTTCCCTCTGTTGATGTTTCAATTGCAATGAGCAAGGTGCCTATAAGCTGGCCTGGTACTCACACATCAGGCTGCAATGTTCACACACTTATCAGAGAGCTCCAGAAGTCATACTCCTCTCAGCCCACTCATCCACTGCAAGTGTTTGCACACCCACTCACGGGGGTTGTGTTTATCTGCCATGGTGCCTGCAATACATACTGGTTTTAAGCTCTCAGTGGAGGTCACCTGTGGGACTCACACACAAATTTGCCAGGGGTCCCACTTTTAGACTCACGGCTCATACGTCTTTTTTGTGGCAGAGCTCACTGGAGGTTGCACCCTTTCATGGAGGTGCTTACACAAACCTGACTGTGATATGGCCAGGAATAGATTGCAGTGCCAGTGACAGCTGAGCTGCGGGCATCATAGTTGATGCAGGTCACAACACTGGGAGATAAATTCACAACCATAGGCTTACAAAGTAAGCATTTAACCATGGGGCCATCTCCCAGCTCCTTTTGATAGGTATATATTATTATTGCTATTTATCAGAATAGAAGCTCCACAGAGGAAGGATCTTTGTTTATATCATCATTTATTACCCCAGAGGAAAGGTTCAACAAAGATTTGTTAAATGTTGAATGAGTTATTAATCTAAGACCTTTTTCAGTTTTTACTCTTATGAAATTAAGAAGCTTTACACAAGGAATTTTGCAAAGTACACATGTGGGGCATGCACTATGTCACTGAGACACAACCCTAAAACTCCCTACAAAGTTTATGTTTTGGTTTGGGGGCCATATCCATTAGTTCTCAAGGCTTAATCCTGGCTCTTTTATTACTCTTGTCAGTTCTAAGGGAACTTTATGCAGTAAGGGTGATCAAACTGGGTTCAGCCATTTGCAAGACAAGCACCTTAAGCCTTCAAGTGTTTGAGTGTGTGTGTGTGTGTGTGCTTGTGTGTGTGGGGGAACACTCCTTGCAATGCTTGGCTGGCTCTGTGCTTGAGAATTACTTCTGGCAGCACTTGGGGGAATATATGGGATGCCAGGGATCTAACTTACGTCTGCTGAGTGCAAGACAAGTGCTCTACCTACTAAACTATCTTTTCAGCCCCAAGCCTTGTACTATCCCTCCAACTGGCTGCAAAGTACTTCAAAGGGGAGATGTTCTGGGTGTGTGGCTCAAGTGGTAGAGAGCACTACCTTTCATCTGTTCTGTACCTGGCATTGTTACCAGACACTTTCTCTTATCTAAAGAGCCCCCTCCCCCTCCTTTTACCTAGATATTATTATTCCAATATAGAAGAAATTTTTTATTTTTAGCTATATCAAATCTTGTCTCCTTAGGTATAAGGCAACTTCCAAGAAATTACACAGAATGTTTAGACATTTAGGAACTTAGTCTGCTTTATTTGGTGGATATATATTTGGTCATTATATTGCTTATTCGTGTATTTTATTATCTGATTCCGTTATCAGATTTGTGAACTAGCACAATGACTAGATCATAACAGATATTAATGACCTTTCACTGATATGGAAAACCAAGAAATTCTGTATGTCCTTGACACGAGAGTCCTGCATAGAAACAACTCACTGGTAATGAGAAATCAATTGTGAAGGGTTTTCACCTTCACAATTGTGTTTTCCATGAACCAAACACTGTTTTAAATATTGGTATGAATGTGGGAGAAGATGAAGATATAACGCCCTACCTGCTGTGCTATCACTCCAGCCCCAAGATATAAATAAATAAGCAAATAGGCCCAGTCCTTGGGGAGATAATGAGACATGGACTCTAGAAAATAGAAACAAGCATGTGCACAATAGCTGTAATAGCAGTAGCAGTAATTTACCTTACAAAGAACAAAGTGGCAGGCACTTTTTAAGAAGTTTTATTGCATGGTCTAACTTTATCATTTTAATATGTCTGGTATTATGAGAATAAAATATTCTTATTTTTTCTATGAGACAGAGAATAAAACTGAAAAATAGATAGATTAAAGAAGTATCCCAGATTACAGAACGACAGATAGCAGAGTTAATATTCAAACATGGGCAAGCTCATTTCTACGCTCGCACTCTAAAGGAAAGTAGTAATAGTTTGGGAAATAATGATTTTTTTTGAGGGGGCAGATCCAGTAGTGCTCAGAGACTACTCCTGGCTTCATGCTCTGGGGTCACTTCTAGTAGTGCTTTTGTGGTATGGATACGACACTGTGGATAAAAGTGGGGTGGTCATGTGTAAGACAAGTGCCTTAATCCCTGTACTGTCTCTCTTGCCCCAGAAAGTAATTTGAAAGCAGAGATTACACTCTCTTACACTTTGGTCTGCTTTGAATCAGAAAATATTTTCTTCTGTTTTCTCACCTTTTCTAGTCATTTGCTTAATGGCACCCACTTTTCTGAAGCTCTTGAGATCTGTCTCACTGTCCTCATAGAATCATGTTCCTCTGGAAAAGACCTCTCTTTAGCATTTCATAAAGTTCATAAACTGATTGAAGTGTGTCAGAGTCTCAAGAGTTGGAGAGAAGAATCAGAATTTCTGGGTATGATTTGAAAGTGGGAATGCAAATAAGCATTTTCAAACCTGGAGTGCAAAGCTCTGTTCAGCACCCTGGACAGAGCCCCAGGCTCCCTCAGGACCCTGGACAGAGAAGCTGGTCATGCCCGCGGGACCAACAAATTTCACCGGGGAGCAGTGAAGTCGCACAACCGGCTGCTAAATTCCTTTTTCCTCTTTTATCCCGCCAGACTTTGGTCACCTGCTTCTGAATCTTAGGAGCAGAGGAGCAGAGAATGAATATATTTTAAGGGTGCTAATAACGTGGAATATAAAACTCTTAAGAGGAGTAAATTATAAATATAAAAATGTCTTGGCTGATATGCTTTTATTATTATGGGAAGCTCTAAATTAGGGTCCTGACTTGGGAGTTGGACGTTGCTAATGATATTTGATAATGACATGTATCTTTCAGACTGAATGGCAACAGGCCACATTTGTCCTTATTATTATTATTATCCAAAGTACACTACCCTCATCCGTTACACTCAAGTTTTAGTCTCTTGAGGAGCAGGATATGAAGGGAAGAGTATCTCCCCATCTTCCCCATCCTGACCCCCACTCCACCCTTTCTCTCTTTCTCAAACACACCGAGTGTGTGTTTGTGCACACACGCAGGGGTGTAAGGGAAGAAGCGGAAGGGGTTCTGCTGACTGGGTGGAGAAGATTGAATTCAGTGCAGGCGGAAAGCAGGCTCTGTCCCTTTAAGTGGGTTGTAGCAGTGGGGGAGGGGAACTGGCCTGAGCTGGCATTGTCCAGTTTAAACTGAGCACCGGAAGTGAAGGGGCAGGGCCAGGGCCCTGCACTGAGCCTCGGGCCATTGTCCATCTCCGACCAGGGCACTAGCCATTCCCCTGGCCCAGCTTCTTTATCTTCTAGAAGGGAAGGCTGCCTGGTCAAATGAGAGTTTCCACTCCAGTTCCCCCAGCAGGCCAGCCCTGGGGTTTTAGGATGGTGTTTCCCGAGTACTGTAGAGGAAATGGCTACTGCCACCTACTCACCTAGTCCCTCTGTGAGCAGTGGGTATGGACAGGACCCCTGGGGGGTGGAAGGCGAGGGCCCAGGGCTGGGAACACACTTCAAACCTCTTTGGGTGCTTCCAGCTGTCCCAGCAATCTTCCCCCAGCTCCATGTAGGGCCCAGGTTAGACACAGATTTGGAAGGAAAGAACCAAAGATTCTTTACACAAACTCAGCGCGGATCGCAATGAGGAATCCAGGAAAACTTCCGAAACTCAGGGAGGCAGGGACATGGAGTTAATCAGAGACCAACTCTAAGAAGCAGCGCCCAGGTCAGGACTGCAGGTCAGTCCAGCCCCGGCTCCAGCCACCCCCCCGCTGCTCCCCGTCCCAGGCTTCCTAGTGTCCTGAACTCTAAGTCTATCTCAGCACACGGTGGTGGAGGGGGCCGAGAGCGGGTCAGCGCCGAGCAGCCGGGTCAGCTCAGAGGCCTGAAGGGGAAGGGAGGGGGAGGGGCGCCGAGGGGCTGGGGGAGGGGGAGGGCTCATCCATTTCTCCCTTGACAGGTGGTTTGTGTCTCTGATTGGCCAGCGCTGCCAGGCTCACACCTCCCTCCCCCAACTCTCTGGAATGTATAATTATCTGCGCGGGGGGTGGGGGTGGTGTGCGAGTGTGTATGGGAGCAGTCACATGCTTTTAAAACTAACCCCCCAAGAGCCCCCCACCTGTATGCTGCTTCGGGGACCCCCCTCTGAGTCTTTAAAGAGCCGGATCCCAAATTCCAGGGTACTCAAGACTTCTTAGGCGGAGGGCCCCCATCTCCACGTGTGTGTGTGTGTGTGTGTGTGTGTGTGTGGGGAGGGGGTGTCAAACCTCAAGGTTCTGAGAAGGGACACCCCAGAGGTGTCAGAGACGGCAGCGGTGGGGGAGGGCCGGAGCTGGAGCAGGAGGGAAAGGGAGGGGAAAGCAGAAGGGGAGGGGAGGGGGCTGCCCGCGGGGGGTTGGGTCATTGTCTTTTAGAATTTGGGAGCCTTTGAAAAGCCGTGGGCCCTCCCACCGCTATTGTGCTGGGGAAGATGTAGCAGCCTCTTCTCCGAGCCACCCCTTTGCCTCCGGACTTCTCTGGGGCCAGCAGCCGCCCGACCTGGGGCCCGGGGCCGCGGGCTCAGCCGACGACCATGGGCTCTGTGTCAAACCAGCAGTTTGCAGGTTCGAGCTTGGGACTTAGCGGGACACCTCAGGCTGCAGGGGCGCCCAGGAGCCACATAAGCGGGAGGAGGGGGAGTGTTCCCTCGGTTGTTCGCAGGACCTCCCCCCCCTCCCCAAGTCTGCGGCCTCCAGCTCCAGGGACCCTCTCTGGAGCTAGGAACCCCGGGTCCCAGCGGCGACCGCCCGGGCGGCTAACGGGGGCCGGTGGGGGCGGTGTAGAGAGGAGGGGCCTGCCTGACCGTCTGTCTCGGGGCAACGTGTTGGGAAGAGGAGCAAAACTTTCGGGGCACCGGCAGCCTCGGCGTGAGCTCGGGGAGCCCGGGCGAGGTCTCTTCTCTCCCTGCCCGGCACAAGTCACTCCTCGCGGGCTGCTGAGCGTGGTAGCCCCGGGTGTCCGGCCGCCGGCTGGACGCTGGGCTCTTGGGCCGGGCGTTGGAGCGGGCCCTGCGATTCCGTACCCCCTCAGTAGTTGAGTGCCCTCCCACTCTCCAGGTGGCTGTGCCAAGGCGCCCGAGGAGGCGCGGGAGGACGCGGCCCGGCCGGCCGAGGAGCCGCAGCTGCTGCACGGGGCCGGCATCTGTAAGTGGTTCAACGTGCGCATGGGGTTCGGCTTCCTGTCCATGACCGCCCGCGCCGGGGTCGCGCTCGACCCCCCAGTGGACGTCTTTGTGCATCAGGTGAGAGCGATTCCGGTAACGTGGATGCGGGAAGGGGACGGTGGCAAACGCGGGTTCAAGGTGGGCGGACGGACTCGCGGGCGGGGGGCCCGATACGTGCGTGCGCATCAGGCGGGGGGCACCCCGGTTCTGAGTCGCTGCGAACTCCGACGGGATGTGAGTGAGCGATCCGGCGTCGGTTATCAGCAGCCCCCAGCCCCTTCCGGGAACCCCTCTGGCTTACCACGTGTCTGTTACCTCTTTCCCCTGGGAAGGGGGCAGGGGGCAGAGAGGTGACCCCATGTGGCAGAAACTAAGGTTGTATTGTGTTTGCCGGTGGGGGGAGGGCGGGCTGGCCGGCCAGGGAAGCACATGCCGGGTTGAGCTGGGCCCTGAGCGCCCACCCCTTTCACCGAATGAGAATAGCTTTTTGGCCAGAGGAGGGCAGCGGCCTGGGATCCAAAGGGGGGGCGGGAGCGTGGAACCACTAAGTCAGTCATGCTTCCACACCCTCATGGCCACACAACTCTCTCAAAGTCCTGAGCCCAGGTTGGGCCTGGCAGCTCTTGGAGTGTTGGGGTAGGGGGCTACAGGATCTCAGGCACAGTTGCCCCCCCTCCCCACCTTGCCTCTTCGAGGGAGGGGAAAGCCCAGGAGGTCCCCTGGCCTCAGATTCCTGCACCACCAGGCTTGGAGGGAGTCCGAGAGCAACCCCAAGTTCTCAGTTACCGCAGGGTAGCCCAGTGGGGGTGAAATTCAGTGTCGCGGGGCAGGGGGTGGAGGGAGGCTAGCCTTCAGTCCTTTTCAGCCTGGCATTTATGGCCCCAGACAGCCATTGATTGTCCTCTAACATTCCAACCGCAAACAAGGAGCCAGAGGCTTCAGTGCTCTCTCCGCCCTGGCCTCCCCTTCCTCTCTCCATTCCGGTGGTCCGGGCACGCCCGCCACCCCTAACAACCATGGAAAGGAAGTGGCCCCTGCGTCCGGGCACCTTCGGAGACTTGTAGCAGGACCTGGAAAGGAGAAATTGCTAATCCCGGCCAGAGGTTGACACCCTAACCGGGCAGGGAGGGGTTACTTGGGGAGGTTGGCTCTGGGAGCGGTGGGGGAGGGGGAAGGAGGATGTGGGGATTAAGGGTTGGAGCCGCAGGGATGGTATTCTGAAGGGGGAGGGGTGGACCGGAGAGGCTGGGTGGACTGGTCTGGGGCTGCAGGCCACTGGGAAGTCTGTTGCACCCTGGGAAGTGGCTGAGTGGGAACTTGAGAGACATGTGGGCACTTGGGCGTACTCAGTTCATATATTCGAAACTTGGGAGTCACTAGGCTACTGGAACATCTGTCAGAAGGGATGTTTAGCTGCCGCCCTTGCTGTGCCCAGTCCTCCCCCCACTAGTCCCTTCATCTCTCACCCGACATCCAGTTCTGGCTGGTGGCTTTACCCCTCCCTGCTTCATTTACATATGTGAATGATAACCCACAGGAAGTAATTGTGGGAGAAAGAAGGGAATTGGCCTCTTTAGATCTATTAAATCACTTTATTACAGGAACCAGCTTTGAATGGCCCTCCTCAGCGGGGCGGCCTTCTCCCCCACTCTCCCATTTATCTGATCACAAAGAGATTAAAATCTCTCCTGGTCTGGAGATGACCGAGCAGCTTCCCCAACTTTGGAAGGTTTGGAGTAAGAGTCAAGCACGGGGTTCTTTTCCTAAGGCTACCAAAGGAGGGTCCTATGGAGATGTTGCCCCTTCATCACTGAGGGGTGCTGGGTGATACTAAAGCCCAGGAAGGTTTTCCTGAGCAAATGAACCTGTGCCTCAGCCTTCCAGAGGGTGAGAAGCAATAGGAAACTGTTGGATGTCAGAGAGGAAAACAGGAGTGTCAGGTCTGGGAGAGGAGCATTTCACATGGGCAGACTGAGGGGGAGCTGAACTTTAGGGTCTTGGTATGAGCATTCCACAGTTTTAAGGAGTTCACTGGGATTTAAAAAAAAAAAGAATTTTCTTCCTAACATAGGTAACGGTGACTGTTGTAAATTCTCTGAGTTACTTATTTTGGACATTGCTAGGGCTCAATTCACACCCTACTTTAGCAATAAGTTCACTAGTGATCACAGTCTTGCAGAAATCTGGAAAATCTCTCTGGGGATCTGCATTGTAAATAGATGCAGGATGTCCTTAAAAATTGCCCTGGGGTGGGGGTAGTGATCCCAAAGTGCAGAAGGGGGTAAGATATCCAACAACTCCTCCCGGTGGCTGGAGTGGCTGCTGATGGTGATGGTAGGGAGGTGAGAAATTTTCCTTTTTGGGCCACAACCAGCCTTACTGGGAGTCTGGATGACATCCTTTATGGTGCCCTGGATGAGACCTAGATCACTTGTGTTCAAGGCCTTAATTCACTTTGGCCCTCAGTACTTTCTTCCCCATTCCAGCCGTGGGTCTATTTGGTTCATTATTATCCCTACATGTTCCCTCACAGAACAAACTTCTCCAGAAGTGGGATTAAAAAAAAACTCTCGATTCTCAGACCCAAAAATATCTTTTATCAAAGAGCAAAACATTCAATAACGAAATTCAGCAATGAAATGAACAGGTAGAGCTCTCCACCTGTCTCTATGATTGGGGGAAATTAAGACTCATAATAGCAGATGGTGAGCCTGAAAATCAGGGTTTCTCAAACTTTTTACTATAGACATACTTTTTTGGGATAATCATTCTGGGCCTTCCGCTGTTGTGACAACCAAAATTGTCTCCTGACAGTTAACAGAAACACCCCTGATTGAGCGACAGTTAATACAGAGAATGCTGGAGCAAGAACAAGTCTGTAGTCTCCTGTTTTAGGGGTACAACCAGGGGTGCTCAGGGCTTACTACTGGCTTTGTGGTCATATCACTTCTGGTGGGCTTGGGGGCTGTAAAGGGCATCAAGGATTGAACCTGGATTGGCCTTGTGCAGAGCAAACGTTCTGGGCTGGAGCAATAATACAGCAGAAAAGAGTGTTTGACTTGCATGCGGCTGACCTGAATTAGGTCATTGGGACCCCATAAAAGGTCCTTGAACCAGGGACCTCGCCAGGAATGATCCCTGAGCACAAAGCCAGGAGTAAGCCCTGACCACATCTGGGTATGGCAAGAAAAAAAAACAGACAAAAAAATAACCCACAAGCCAAGCATCCTGCCCACTTTACCATCTCTCCGTCCCAGTAGACTCCCCTTTTCCTGAGCTTCACTTAGAATTCTTATTTCTTCATGACCAGTTGAGAAGTTAGGCTTAAGGTCTGGGATGTGGCTCAGGAATAGAGCATTTGCCTTAGGAGTGTAAATCTGTGTTTAATCCTCAGCACTGCCTCCGCCCTTTATTATCTTTTTAATTATTGAGTTGTTTAAGTCTACACCTGGTTGTGCTCAGAGGTCACCTCTGGAAGGGCTCAGGGAACCATGTGTGGTGTAGGAGATCAAATGTGGGTCTGCCACGTGGGAGGCAAGCTCCTTATCTGTTGCACTGGACTGACCCCCTCTTTGTTTATTCCCCCCAGTAGTTTAACTCCCAGATCCCCAAGATTGTGGCATTTTGATTTTTTTTTTCTTTATGGGCTACACCTGGTGATGCTCAGGGATTACTCCTGCCTCTGTTCTCAGGAATCAATCCTGGTGGTGCTTGGGGGGCCATATGGGACTGAACCAGGTTTAGCCACTTGCAAGGCAAACACCCTATCTGCTGTACTATCTCTTTGGCCCCAAGATTGTAGTACTTTAAAAGTAAGGGGAAAAACCTCCATTTCCCCCCCCACAGGCTCTTAGAAATCAAATGCATTTAATGTAGTTTTCCGGCTAAAATGCTGTACTCATAGACTTAGAAAAGGTGGAGCCAAAGGGATTTCAATACTGAAATCCTTGAAACTGCTTTAGCCACATGCCCCCCTTTTTCTGCTAAGGATGATTGTGGCTGAGGGACCAGGAAGTTTAGATTAGCTGGGAAAGAAGGGGAAAAAAGAAAAGATTTGCTTACTGTCTAGTAAGTAAACCTGGACAGTTTGTTTCCTTGCTTTATGTAATGATATACTTGTCATCCCTTTCCCAAACTGTTATGTCTTTTGAAGAGGGCATAGCTATGTCTGCTAATTAATTTTCTAGTGGTACACGCACATACACTGAGGGGCTAGGGGGCTAAAGGAAACACTGGGCAAAACTTAAGGGCTCCATAGCAGAAGCATGCTAATAATTGTCAGAAAGGGCTGGGGAGGGCAAGTTACCTAGACTGTTATCTCTGGATTGGTGCCCAGGGGTTTGGAAATGCATCAGGAAAGTCTGAATGAATGCCAGTGGATTACAGTATGGTATTGAGCCACATGACATCCTTCTTTTCTTCATGGAGTATTTATTTGCTCTAGAAGCCATTTGGTTTGATCATGCACTAGTCATTTCCATCTTTACCGGAAAAAGCAGATGGCAAAAAGTCTGGTAGAGATTCACTGTACGAGGAATCTGGTACAGAAATGCGTGTGTGTGTGTGTGTGTGTGTGTGTGTGTGTAAAAAGCAGATGGCAAAAAGTCAGATTCACTCTACCAGGGATCTGGCACAGAAATGCGTGCGTGCATGTGTGTGTGTGTGTGTGTGTGTGTGTGTGTGTGTGTGTGTGTGTAGTGGTGGTGCTGCTGCTGCTGCTGCTGCTGCTGCTGTTCCTGCTGTGGCACCTTTCTAAAGACACATGCTTCCTAGACATTCCCAGGCTTTCTCCAGTGTAGGAGAAACTTCTACTTTAAAGCTGGACTGGGAGTGGTTTTCAGTGACATTCCCCAGAGCAAGGTTTCTTGAATATTCCTAATCAAATTATACTCCACCCTACTGAATTCCTCTTTTTTTTAAAAGAAGCTGCCTTAGGCTAAATCTATTTTGCCTTCCCCTTCCTGCAGGCGTGATTAACCCTTTCGGCTGAAACTGGGAGGTCCTAGGGGGTTGGAGGAGAAGACTTTATAATAAGAAGAAGCAGTGAGAAATTGATTTCTGACTTCCCAAAAGAAAGT